TATATATCTGGATTTATCATGCTTCTTCATCACATATCTTGTTATATATATCTGGATTTATCATGCATGCATGCACAGTATAGATTACTTGATGGAACAAGTTTTTTTTTCATCAATCCATTTACAGTATGCCATACTCCCTCCATCCCAAAATAAGTGTCTTAGCTTTAGTATAACTTTTTAAAATTAGTACAAAGTTGAGACATTTATTTTGAGACAGAGTTAGTGTTAAATAAACACATTGACTCTAGCCGTGATTTCAGTTTCCTACATTGGACAAGTGAAGTGTGGTAGCTGCTCATTGACACAATGGAACAAGTTGACATTTGGGCGCCCATCTTGGCCGATCCTATTACAAGCCAACAGGTATTCACTTTGTTGATCAGATCACATATCTTGTTAGAGACGATGACTAGCTGGATGACTAGTTGGATGCTTGGTTTTATTTCAAAATAAAGGTGGAACCAGCCTATATATCTAAACGTAAAAATCATAAGTTATCTGAAAGAAGATTATAAGCACAACCAAAATGGTCAATAAAAAGTATTGAAGCATACTCCATGGTTTATTCAACCTTCATTTTAACTTGATGTAATATATGTCAATAAGCATAGTTCATATACGATCCCCACTCTTTAGATCTTATCAAATCTTACTTGGATATAGAGTTCGCAACAGGCTCGTTGATCCCGAGATAATAACAACATATATTTCACGGTTCTTGGTGATAGGCGGAGATTAAAGTTCACTCAGCATATGTGGATTATGGCACCATGGACTTTCAAGCACTCTTAGAAGGACCCCATGATTTGGACGGATGGCTGAAATGTACAATGTTTAATTGTTGCGGTCTATTCCAAACTTCGTTACACAAGCAAGCAATTTATCCATGGTTTGACTTTGAAACCAAATAATGTATAATTCCTTGCAGGTGCATTCGTTCCTAATTATATAAAGGAGGCGAATTTAACTCATGAGGCAAGATTTTCGCACATCCAAAACAACAAACTTGCAAAACAAATGAATGTGGCCAATGGCATTGAAAATTTGCTTCATCATTGCAGATTGAATGTAACATTTATTCACCAACTAGTGATCATGGCATGACAATACAAACACCTATGCCTGCTCCACCAGAGGCGTTGCCTGAGAAAGAGCAGGCCCTGCCACCACGACTCTCAACAGGGGAGGAGGAGAAGAGGAGGAGATGAAAGAGGGAGGAGGGGCCATGTGCCCGCCGCCTTGTCACCGACGAAGCAGGAGGCTTGCGGCCACCGCCACACCGCCGGAGGAGGGGACCTGCGATCTACTAGGTATGAGTTATGGAGGCATCATTTGTTGCATTGTACCATTTGTCATTGTGTCAAGTAGTTAAACACATATTCTATGTGCTTCAGATTACGTACCAAAAAGTGGTTGGAGGCATGGAAGTCGTGTGAGAAGTGCACGGGAGAGAGGAACATGGTTGATAAACATGGAACCATGCCAAAAACGTGGGCACAGAAGAAACAATGACCATTGGACATCTGAAGAGGTGAAAGAATTAGTGGATGGCATATCTGCATATGGTGCTAGCCAATGGGCTAAATTGAAGAACGAAAGGTTTCGAATATCAGCTCGAAAGGCGGAGCATCTTAAGGTATAGTTAATTGGTGATTAATTGCACTAAAGAACATGCATTACATGCTCTCTCTACTCATTGTTTTGTTGTATTTCACACTTTTTCTCTGTTCATCTTTTATTTATCTACATATATTTTATTGTAAAAGATGTTAATTTTTATGTGTTTAATCTTTCAGGATAAGTGGAGAAACCTAGTGAAAGCCTTCACGGTTGGGCCCACATCTAAAAAAAGATTTTATATCATAACTTTATCTAACTCATCATGGAGCATCACTGATTTTTCGTCTCTTACATTTATTGAATCCCAGGGAAATGTGAAAAGAAGGAACTCGCCTCGTCTAGATAGGGATTGCATTGAAAAGAACGAGAGGCTTGCAGCTGATTACCCTCGAAAATGAAGCTCCAGTCGCGAATGCTAGAAGAAACGCCATATGGTACTTCTGCTGTAGCAATGGTCCAGCAACAATAGTTCTGTTGTTTTTCAAGAACTGCGAAGCATAGGCTGTCATATTAAGTGTGTCGAGAGTAGAGAGTAGATTGAATCATCTGGATGGAGCAGCTTCTATCTGCTGCCTAACCGCCCTGTGAATGGGAATAGCGCTCGCTCCTCCGACCTGTTGGCTTGCCAGTTTTGCTACAGTGCTGTAATTAGCTTGACCTTTCATTTAACACAATGACACATTTTGCTGGAAGCTTATGGTCATATGATATGAATGGTGAATGGATCTGCACCAGTTACACACATTGCTTGAAGCAGTCTCACTCGCTCCGCTCGAGGAATAATGCAATTGATAGCTCGAATCGAGCACCTGTGACACGCCTCGACCTGAAGAAGCTTGGTGCCGCTGCCTCCAAGCAGCAGGTTTATTCACCACTCTGCTTGTACCTTGAACAATCGTGAGGTGCCGGAATGGCTGCTTGTACCTCGAGGCCAGCCAGCAGGCTTAGTAGCTAGGATAGTTTCTTTCTTGCTGCTGTATGGTGTGGTTTGTTCTGGATCCTGGGAATAATTTTGGTTGATGACGATATCCTATCACTCACTCAGCCAGTCTGATTGTTTGCACCGATACTCTCTTGGGTTTCATCCATCTTGTAAAAAATGGAGCCAGGATACGTCCCTCTTGATCTTCTCTAGAAAGGAATTCAGTCTGTACCCTTGAAGATTTTAATAGACGCTCAGATCGTTATCAAGCTTAATTAGAAACGGATACCATAAAAGGTTTATAGTTCAGCAGCTACTTTAAAGTTTTATGTATGGTGCAGAAACAACACATTTGTTCAGGTGTAAAACTTTTGCTCAATGCCTGAACCTGAAGAAATGCTACTGTTGTTCATCAGAGTCAGAGACCATGCATTTTGGTTCAGTTGCCTAATGTGCGTGTGAGTTACATTCTCACCACCTGATTTAATTGTAACAGCTATATATATGCCCGTAAAAAGAAAGAACAGCTATATATACACCGTGACTGGCTATACAAAGAAAGTCTGGCTATGATCAGCTACGGCTTTTGCCCGGAGAACATGATGAATGACCTCTGAACCTTGCTGCTGTAGTTCACCAGGCCACAGGATCTGCACAGGTCTTCCAGCTCCCCTTCCATGAAGAAGTTGTAGCTGCTGTTCACTGGCCCAACAATCTGCAGCACATGGCAGAGAAGGTGCATCAGGTTAGGTAACCTCTGCCACGCAGAAAATAAGTAGTAGCGCTAGACGATCGACGACTTCTTTTACCTGTCTCAGTGGCTTTAGTGCATCGATAGAGAACAGGCCGCTGTTTGTGGGGGTGGATAAGAAGGTTGTCGCTACGAATACACCGCCGGGCTTCAGCACACGGCTGATTTCAGCTATCTGGTTTTCAAACAGCAGCGGGAGGAGATGTCATGGTGACGAATAAATTCATATAACAAAAAGATAGGTACACAGGTCATTGCACGATGTCCTGTGCCTGCACAAAGCTGCCCAAAGCATACTAAGTAAGCACTAAACTATTGTGGTTGACTTTACTAATTCATTTTGCAGTCATTAATTCACAGAAATACGGAACGGTATTTCTCATGTAATGCCAAGAGTGGTTTAAACTTTATGGATTGACTAATTGTTCAGTGGATTGGACAAACAAAATCGTAATTTTAAAGACACCAGTTATGAACCATGTACAATATGAAGTTATGAACCATGTACAATATTTAATCAAAAAGTGCAAATGAGACAGGTACTATACCGCATTTGATGGGGATGGCCAACAGTGTATAGCGGCTCCAGCATGAATGGCATCAATTGAACATGAAGCAAAAGGGAGCCTCGAAATATCAGCCCTTACAAGTGCAAGGTTCCTGCAGAACCAAAAGAAGAAACAGTAACTTTTTGCTCAAAGCATCAGGGAATACAGCTGATGAATGTTCATGATTACTGTACTGTGCTTCAAACAAAAGGAATGTTTTGAACAGAGATCATAAGGTTTTTTCGTAGTGAAAAACAAACCACTAGCTTCCACAAGCAATTTAGTGATGCCCAAGTTGTCTAAATGAAGGTTTGTTGGAGTTGGATGTTGCAAGACATATTTTCAAGTCCTACAGGGAAAGCTAAAAGTAAACACAAAGGAAAGCTCACGTGTTCATAGGAGTTTCTTCTTGTTTGATGTAGTCATAGCATTGGCGGAGCATATTCTCAGAAAAGTCCAAAGCAATCACAGCTGAGTATGTCCCAGAGCTTGCAAACTTCCTCGAAAACAAGCCACTGCCACAGCTGACATCAACAAGTATACCTCCAGCGACTGGTTGGAAATAATCTTGAGCCATTTGGAACTGATAAAGCCAACAGCAGACCAGAATTATATGCATATTAATATGAATATGTTCTTGGCATGAAAACTGGAGACAGCATTTTGTTGCAGCACCAAATACTTGGCTTTGACAGATATACGATTTAACATAAATAATTTCTTACTGAGCAGTAACAGCTTAAGGCCAAGGAACTGAAGAATGAGACAGACAAGAAATGTACCTCTTCGTCGCGGCCAGGGAAGCCACTCCGATTGAAGTTCTGACGCCAACCTCTCTCGTAAAGAAAGGAGACGAGCGGGCTCCTGAACAGCTCGGTTCTAGCAGGCTTGAGTTCACTGTATTCTTTCATTCCTGAGGTGACAGTGAGATCCAAGAAGACATCTTTACTGGTGAATGACTTGTTGCATTTTGTACACTTGAATCCGGACCTGTAAATCGCTGGCCTGCGACACGCGTAGAAGCCAAAACAACATAAATCCTAATCCGGCAAACAGATATGCATGCGAGATGAAATTAACTCATGGACTTTAGACGTACAGGTTCATGCCTGGCGGCCCTTTCCTTATCAGCGGTTCATAGCAAACAGGGCAAGCGAACACCTCAGTTTCTGAAGTGTCATTCTGCTCGGTTTTGGTCTCCTGAAACTTTTCACATGACGAGCGTCAGTTTTACACAGTAGAAATAGTAAATGAGTTCCCACCTCAGCATTACATCAAAACCTGGTACACACAACATTCCACTACGCTTAACGCAACCAATTCAGTAACTATGCTATTAAATAAGCTGCTTCTTTTCCGGAGAACACATGAGCACCCTGTTTGCGTGATTAGCTCTTGGGTGTTAAATAGTACAGGCTCGATTGCAGAGAGCAGACATCCCATACATGTAAGGCAGCATAGATCATCAGCGGGTATATAAGCATTTAGGCCAGTCAACTAATCTGCCATGCGAGGTTCAATCTTTGCACCTCGTGGCCAAATATCAGCAGCATAGCCGCATAGGCATAACATCAAACATGTGGTGTGCGACAGTCCATTCTCCATTTCCTAGTAAACAGTAAAGGCAACCAGTTCCCTTCTCTCCCTAAGATAAGAATCATCTAGCGTTGGGCGTGTGTACGTACCGGGTTGAGGGCGATAGCTGCCGCGGCTACGGCCACGCGGCGAGCCGGCAGCGGCAGGCCGGAGCTGCGGCCTAGGCGGCCGGCGACGAGGGCGCGCGGGGGATGGTGCGACAGGTAGGAGGAGCAGGAAGCTGCCGCGGCTCTCACCGCGAGCTCCATGGGAGCTGCAGCTGCAGCGGTGCAGCCTGGAGACGCGCGGGGAAGGAAGGAAGGAAAACAAGAAATGCTCATTGGCAGGCTCGGGTGTGGTGGTGGTGGGCTCTGGCGTGGCGCCAGCGGCGTCCGTTCGCGACTTTGGCCATTGGGTCCTCATTTTTTTTACACGTCGACAAGTGTGAACAAGGAAAGCATGAGCCAATCAGTCATCAGTCAACAAAATGTCAAAAAAAAATTACAAGAGATCTCCTAGGAAGTCCATCATCTTGAACCTGGAAAACAAGTGGATGGTGAGTCGTTACTCCATGTGCCAGAAGCATTGTCGGCGAGCTCTAGGCGAGAAGGACATTATTCCGACTTCAAGGCGACGCTTGGGAGGACAATCAGACACGAAAAACGAAACATGATCAATGTCCACCGAAGGTGAGGAGGACTGACAACGGCATCAATGGCAACAACCCTAGTCACCCTTTGTTCGCCCGTGAGTGTGACCCGGGGAGCATCTCAAATCAAAAGAAGAAGAAGAAGAAGAAGAAGAAGAAGAAGAAGAAGGTGCGGCGAGAGGTTAACTTCGCTCAATTTCATCTAGAAGAATATCCTTTTTAATTCTCTAGAAAAAGGAATCATTTTCAAATTTTCCTCTTCGCGTACATGTCCTGTCTCGGCTACATGGGGAACCACGGGGACGATGATTGGTCAAATCATACATGTATGCTACTACTAGTACCTCATAATTTGCTCACAGTTACAGGGACAATTGAGAGGGAGAATCAGAGAGATGAAGGTTACAAGAGTTAAAGGACGGTCACTGCTACAGTTATGGCGTTATCAGTGATGGAGGCAGGCACGAGCTGAAGTTCCTGTACCGGAAGGCGGCCTCCTCTGCTTCCGCGCCATTGTCATTGCTGCCGTGGTCAAAGTTGAGCGCGTAGCTAAGCGGGTGGTGACGAAGCTATGTACCTAGGGAAGGGTCATAGATCTGATCAAGATACCCTCCCCAAGAACTCCTCTAAAAGAACCAGAAGCAGTCGAAGAGAAATCATCGTCCACTCGACTATGGAGCTATGTTCCACTCGACAGTCTCAAAGGCACTCGACCATACGAACAACCACTCGACTACCAGAAGATTGAGAGTCACTCACTCTGCAACGGTCGAGATTTAAGTCATAGCTTTAATGGTCATTTATGTACTTTTATTACAGGCGTTACCAGTAACGCCTCTACCTTTATGTATAAACCCTTTGTAACAGAGGGCCGGAGGGGTCTGGCGAACTCTATATAAGCCACCCCCCTCCGCAGTGACAAGGGTTCGCACTCCCTGTAACTCACATGCATATAATCCAGTCGACCGCCTCCAGGCTCCGAGACGTAGGGCTGTTACTTCCTCCGAGAAGGGCCTGAACTCGTAAACTAGCGTGTACAACTCCTCCATAGCTAAGATCTTGCCTCTACATACCTACCCCCTATTCTACTGTCAGACTTAGAACCACGACAGTTGGCGCCGACCGTGGGGCAGGTGTCTTAGCGACTTGTTGGAGAGATTGCAATTTTTCCGATCCCCTTCATCATGGTTTCAGGCGGAGGTTTGGCTGACGGCCGCGAGATCCTCTCGGCGCGCTCGTGTTTGTCGTCGACAACTCCGCTTGGCTTCAGGAGGCTCCACTCGACGTCAACGCGCTCCCCGCCCGCGGAGCAACGCACTTTCACGCGTGCGTCCGCGGCGTCCTCCTGCGGCAGCCGTCGACCCAGTATCAGTCGGCTCCTCTAGCTTTTCCCCTCTCTGCGGCCCGCCGGAGCAAACGTTCCGGTCGATCGAGGCTTCAGCGATCGGTGAAGCATGCGGTGGCCCGCCAGTCGGCCACCCCTCAAGTCGCAGCAATCGAGCCCGACGAAACCCTCTACGGGTTGTTCGATCTGTCGACTGGCTCCATAGAGACTGCGTCCGAGTGCGATAGCAGCGACCCAGCGGCGAAAATTTTGATGGTCAATGGACCACGCAGTCCTCCTGGCTTCACCCGTGAAGACGGAGGCGATGGAGGCGGCGATCCGTCGCGTATTCATGAAGAGTACCGCCCCGAACCCCTCTCTTCGCAGCGGAGATAAGAACTTCTCCGCCGGAACATGGATGCACTTCACACTCCTATCGTTGGAGAAACCCCTGAGGCCCAGGCCTTGGAGGAGGCGCGCCTGGCCAACTTGGCTGAGTGCACTCGACTGGAGAATCTCCAGCGCGCACTCGACGAGCGTGCTCGACAGCGTGCTCCCGAGTCCAGACGACATCAACTTTTTCCGCCTCCGACTCAGGTATACCGAACTCCGATCCAGAATCTCGCAGTTGCAGCCCGGATAGCGGTGTCGATCCAACCCTCCCAGTCAGAAGCTGGTCGGGGTCTGGTGCAAATCCGAGCCTTGCTTCGTGCGGCCGGAGAGCAGAATACCACAGTGTCTCAGTCGCGGAATAAGATCCATAGCAGATCCGTGGTTGCAGACACAGTTCAATCGACTCACAGCCCAAAATTGCCCCCGAGGCGTGAGGGACGTGGAGATCGACGAGATCAGTACAGAAACCATGAGCAGTATGACCACCGAGTCGATCGCGATGGTCGTCGTCGAGTGCCTACGCCTCCCCCAAGGAGTGGGTCGTACGTGCCTCGGCAACATGATGACAGGCGCCCTCACAGTATGGGGCGAGGGATTCCAGTCGACCCCAGAGAACCGGGCTTTGATGCGAGATCTATTCTCGTTCAGGGCTTGGTCGATAGAAACAGAGCTCACCGAGAGGGACATGACAGAGATCTACCAACCAGCAGCAGGGTGCGTGTCTCAGGTCCGGAGTGCTTCAGCAGAGCCATCAGGGTTGTAATGATTCCCCCCAACTTCAGGTTGGCGACTGGAGTCAGTAAGTTCACTGGTGAGTCCAAGCCTGATACTTGGCTTGAAGACTACCGGGTGGCTGTCCAGATTGGTGGCGGTAATGATGAGGTGTCCATGAAACACCTTCCTCTGATGTTGGAGGGCTCGGATAGAGCATGGCTGAATCAGTTAGCACCTAGCAGTATTTATACTTGGGAAGATGTTGCCCGAGTATTTGTCAGAACATTCGAAGGTACATGCAAACGACTGGCAGGGTTGACCGAATTACAGTGTTGCGTTCAGAAACCGAATGAGTCTTTGAGGGATTATATCCAGAGATGGATCACATTGCATCACACGGTGGAGAATGTGTTTGATCATCAGGCAATTTGTGCCTTTAAAGAAGGCGTCAAGTATCGGGAGTTGAATATGAAATTCGGTCGGACAGGAGATATGACTCTGACTCAGATGATGGAAATTGCCACCAAGTACGCCAACGGAGAAGAAGAAGACCGACTCCAGAGTGGCAAGCACAAAACAGTCGTCCATGAGACCGGAGGAGGAAACTCCAGTCAGAAACAGAAGCGCAAAGCCGAGCCAGCTGCTCCTGCTGAAGCCTTAGCCGTGACTCAAGGAAAGTTCAAGGGGAAGCTCAAGGGGCCGTGGAACCCCAAGAAAGTAAAAGATCAAGATGGGAATGATGTGCTGGATTTGCCATGCCACATCCACACCAAAAAAATATGAAGAGGGTAATTTTATTTACCCGAAGCATACCACTCGGCAGTGTCGACTCCTAATCCAACAATTCCGAGAGAAACAGCCCAAGGAAAAGGAAAAAGAAAAAGACAAGGCTGACACTAGTGCAGAACCGAGCAATAGCACCGGTTCGTAAGGCCCTTTAGTGCCGTTTTGGTAACCGGCGCTAAAGTGTAGGCACTAAAGCCCCCCCCTTTAGTACCGGTTCAGCACGAACCGGTGCTAAAGGGCAATCACGTGGCACGAGCCAGCTTCAAGGGCAGGGAGCCCTTTAGTACCGGTTGGTGTCACCAACAGGTATTAAAAGGTTGGGGTGTTTTGGGTTTATGATTTCTTTTTCATTTAATTTTGTGTTTTCCATTTAATTCTTTTTCGTTTGCTGGTATTTTACGATACTACATATTGTACACGTTATGCATATATGTAAATAGAATTTCTAGTAGAACCGATCATAATATATATATATATATATATATATATATATATAGATAATGTTACTATTCATCACCCAGTGTGCAGAATAAGTTATTCTTCACCCGATGTAATCTTACGGTCATTTTATAATTAAATTACGTTTGAAATTCAAATAGTTACATTTCTATTGATTCACTACATAAAATTTGACATAAGAAAATAAAAATGTAGGTCATAAGAAAAGAAAATTTGCAGTTTATGTGTATTTTAGACTATGTTTTTACGTTTGTAATTTTACATAACATAAAATATTTTTTACAACGATTATATATTTTCTTACGGTCTCTTTTTGCGTCGGAAATAAAACAAAACTTACGGAACGTAAAATTACGATGCATTGATGGTAAAATAAAGGGGGGGGTGAAGAATAACTATTCGTCACCCAGGGTGACGAATAGCGCGACCCTATATATAATCGCAGCGTATATATATCATTTCACTGATTCTTGAAGCTAAGATTTGGACGATCGTACACAACTTCTTTCAAACCAAGATGCGACCATGTCCTCAAACGTACATCGTCGCCACCACCGACGTCATTCTTCTATGTGCAGCCACATGTTGTCTTCGTTACCGACGCCGACGTCATTCTTCTACGTGCAGCCACATGTTCTTCGTCGCCGCCGTACCGGAACAGGCAGGCATCTGCAATGCGCAGCAGCCATGGTTGCCGACTTGCCGTTGTCGTCGTTGCCACCGTATCATGGTAATCACCCATTGGTCACATTGTTTTAATTTGTTGTCGCCGTTCCGGAGAAGACAGACAGCAGCCGTGGACCGGTGGACGGCGATGCCGTCGGCCGTGGCAGTCAGCTATCAGTTATGCTGTCTTCGTCGGCGCCGCACTAGAAATAGGCATGTGTCGACCGTATGTCATCAGTTGTCACAACATCCGTGGTGCTAGAGAGCAGCCACTTGACAGTTCTTGCGTCTCGACAATTCTGATCATGACGTAGGCCAACACTCCATGTAGAAAATTGATGCGTGGAGAG